AAGCACCTGTTTCTAGTAAAGCAACTTCTGATTCTACCCATTGGGTTGGTGTTCTTTTTTTTTTTGCAGCAGCAGAAGCATTTTTCAGAAGCTGAACCAAACACAATCTAAGGCCCTATTCGGCTTATCCCATATTCGGCTTGTTCGACTTCTTTTTTTAGCAGGAATAGTATTTTTCTCTCACAACAATTCAGCCGAAACAGTGTTTTTCAGCCAGTTTCAGCCAAGTTTCATACCAGCGAACGGGACCTAAAACTCTTGCCAACTTGTTTTAGTCTCTTTATAGATCGGCTAGAGTTCATCCATTATGGCTTTAAAAAGATCTGGCAAATCTAAATAGACTAGTATAACTCCAACTAATCTAAATAGGATTTCTATAAGCAGTTTTTCATAATATCGATTTGAGATTATAACAACCCCATGATCCATTTTCCTTATTTTCCCACCATTTAACAATCTAGCTTTTCACATCATAGTTTTAAACAAATTCATAATCCATGAGCTAGATTTTAACAATCTCTAATCCATCCAAAATAATACCTTATTAGTTGCTTATTATGAATTAATTGTAGGTATTTACTACTAAAAGCTAGTGCTCATTTTTTACAATTAAGGTCGCATACCTTAAGGGCATGTAGGTATTTACTACTAAAAGCTAGTGGAGCTCATTTTTTTTTGCTTATTATCTAAAATCTATCATACTATCACAACCGGATAAAGATAAGAAAATACCTTTAAAATTATTGTGACACGCGTGCTTGCATACCTTAAGGGCTTGTTTGGATGTAGATGTATCCACGATCAATCCATGTGTTTGGGATGGTGACGTGAAATTTAAACTAAATTTCACACTAACCCACCCCGACACATATGGACTGAGGTGAATACATGGGCATCATCCAAACAAACAACAGCTAGCTCCTTATTATCCTCTCCTGTTTTCTGAGAAATTTCCTATTGGATATTAGTCGATAAGTACAAAAGAAAACCCTTTCATAAAAAAAGTACAAAAGAAAGCCCCCAGTTGCCAAAATACTTGGCGCACCCTTGTTTCTAAGAATCTTCTTCTCTGTCATCCACCAAATTAGTCCGTTGACCTATGCCACGTCTTTCTTCCATTCGCCGAATCCTGGTGACCACGTATATATATTTTTTAAATGTTCCTCCTCTTTTTGTTTTTGGCCGGGTCACGATCGATGAACATAGATACCTAACGTATTTCTCTAAATCTCAGTTTGATTTCTAGTATATATATATATATATATATATATATATATATATATATATATATATATATATATATATATATATATATATATCTCCCCAACAAACACAATTATTTTTTGTCATAATCAATTAATTAAGTTGCAATTTGATCAACTTGTACAGATAATAAAAGCATGACGTTGTGTGCATATTTCCACATTGACGACACACCATGACTTTGTTCATGCACGTGCACGTCAACAACGATACTTTAGAAAACAGGAGATAACAAAAACCATGACTTAGAAAACACGTCAACTACTACTACATAACGGTACGACACCTGTTTACGTCACTGTGTACTGGCTCTTAATTTTTATGCTAATGACTTTAGAAATAACAAGAAAGCATAGATACTTTGTGGTGAAAAATATCACATTTATTTACTCCTACAAGATGGAGATCATCATGTGGCAAGAATTCTCAAGGCTGTTTTTGTTTAAGTTTTTTGAGTGGGTAAAAATGTCCACATGACAGTTCTTGGCCCTGTTCGGCAGGCTTGTTTCCAGCCAGCTGGCTTATTTTTCCTCTCACAGAATCACTGTTCACGTCCTGCCAGAACAGTATTTTTCTCTCACAACAATCAGCCGGAACAGTATTTTTCAGTCCTGCCGAACAGGGCCCTTGTCCCTGCCATGCGCCCACTCTCTTCAACCAAGTGGGAATTTAATTACTTATTGAGCACAGTATTTTGTTTGGGTACATGGATTTCTTGCGTCGAGAGGTAGAACAAGCACCCGTGTGTGGCCTACGGCTCTTGTAAATACAGTACACTCATTTTTATAAAGATTATTAAATTGATTTATCAATATTATATTTGGTATTTGTTCACAAATTCACTACAAAACCTTCAGTTTTTTTCCCAAGTTACTAGCTTTAAATTAAATAAATTTGGTGGCAAGTCCCTGCACAAAAAAGAAGCTTATATATAGGCCGTGTTTGGCGGGCTCCACCTGCGGTGCTCTGTTGCGGGAGCCGGAGCCCGAGCTGCGAAGCCACAAATCCGGGCTCCTCCTCCGTATGTGCAAAAGGGCTTCGGCAGAAGCGGCTCCTCCGTCTAGCGCGTTTGGTGCGGCTCCTCCGCCGGAGCTGCCGCGGAGCCGGAGCCGGAGCCCGGCCAAACACGGCCATAGTCTGAAGAAAAGTCAGCACTCTTTGCATTCTCTTTGCTACCTTGAACAGTTGTACTAATGTGAAAGCATGCCGTGCCAAGACTTGCTGAAAGATTGAAAGTCCTAGATAGACAGAAATGTGAGCATGACCGGAGAAATAAAAACAGACAAAGAATATACTGTGGGCGTTTTGAGGAATTTATTTATATGAACTAAATTAAACAGCAGCAATGGATACCATGATTTCAGAAACTAGAATATCAAAGTGTGAATATATATTTTTTAGAAAAAAATGAAAATATTCTGCAAGACTTGGTTCCAAATTAAAACCCACCTATGTATATCTATGTATATGTGTTTTTTTAATTCTTGCTGCACCCATTGGCTCGCCCATATATATCTATAGTTTGGCCTCTAGCATCACTTGATGATTCGTCGTCCCATGTACCACGAGATACTATGAGCCTATTTTGGTCTAATCTAGGCAAGATTTGCCTGACACAGCCACTCATCCTAGACGTCCGATTTTGAATGTCTAGGGCTGAAATTGATGCCTGTGGAATGAATTGGCCAAGGGAGGCTTTGAACCAAACATGCGCAGTCTGTATGAATAATTGTATCAAAGCTTGTGTGACTAGGAGAATCATGTATATCCACTTTGGCACCTGAACTCGATCGAGGGAGATGAGGTCAATCTCAATGGTAAAAACATGTCAAGCTCTAAGGAAATTGACCCTGTTCGCTTGTCTTATAATCTGTATTTTTCAACTTGTTTTTTCAACCGGAACAATGTTTTTCTCTCATAACAAATCAGTCGGAACAGTGTTTCGGCTTGTTTTTTCAGCGAAGCGAACGGAGCCATTGTGTCAAGGTTCTTAAGGACAGGAAATGAGTCTCTAGCTAAATTGGTTAATATGAGAGGTATAATATTTTTTTTCGTCAGAATGACGGGAGGGACGAAAAGTCTCCACATGATATATTAACCATAGATGTTGAGCTAGCCAAGAGTGGAGGGCCTTGGCCTGCAGGCTTAAAGCATGGAGTTCGAATTATATGTTAGAATGGAGGTGAGAGGTTACATATGGAGCATGTAACTACTTGCTTCTTGGACCTTGGCAGCAGACAAGCCGAGGATATAGGGAATTCTCGGCATGCCATGGTCAACCGATTCAAGCTGGGGAGTAACTTCTGGAAGACCACGCGATTTCTATGCTTCCACAAAATGAGAGGTATAATCATGCATCCAAATAAGGTTCCAGTCCTCTTCATCTTAAAGAAAAAAAAACATTTAACCTGTTCGCTGGGTCGTATTTAGCTTATAGGCCATGGCTTATCAGCCAACGAAAAATATTTTTCTCTCACACCATACCAGTCAACAGTACTTTCAGCTATGGCTTATAAGCCAAACCAGCCCCAACGAACAGGGTGATTCTCGTTCTGCCTAGGTTAGTCTTTTTTTCAAGCGTCTTAGAGATAAGCCAAGTCACCTATAAGACTTCAAGACAACCATATCAGATGGTTAACTGGCATAAGGATGCCATTGGAAAACCCATAAAACCTGAAGGTGTTTGAAATTGACATGTATGTGGGTATTAAAAAAAACCTCCCAACTTGTTTGTGGATAGTATATACCTTACTCACTTTTTTTTCCTCAAGGTACTTTTTACTCTTTCTTATTCTTATGCATGCGTGATAGCACGCAACCTACGCATGTGTATCAAGTACATTGCACGACGAGTCATACACGTCCACATCCGCATTCAAGTTGAGGAAAAAAAAAGTAATAGATAAAATCCTCCAACAACATGCCGTATAAAACCCAATGTTCCCCCCTTTTTAGCAGGGTGTAATAATATATATGGAGATTTTAGAGGGTGATGACAAGCAAAATTCAACACGGCCTGTTCGCTTGCTCGTAAACGATAGTAAATTTTCAGTCGGGAACAGTATTTTTCTCTCACACCAAACCAGCCAGCAGTAAATAATTCATGATACGATACGGCCTCCCGAACAGGCTGGCGCGAAATTAAATTAGGCAGTAGCTAGCCTCAAGATGTTGTATATTTAATAATTATATAAATATATATTTATAATATATACTTCCTCTATCCCATATTATTTGTCGCTTTTGGTTTTCATGGTATAAATTGGACTAGATTTATAAAAAATACATGCAACATTTACATCTCTAAATAAATATATTATGAAAATAGATTTAAAAATCTATCTAATAATATTAATTATATATCATAAATATTAATATTTTTATTTAAAATTAGTTAGAATTATTTTTAAAAAACGAGAACGACGTATATTTTGGGCCAAGGAGTATACGGGTATAGATGGTGCATGGTATAGAAGCATACCATTTTCTATATATAGAGCGTCGCGAGCATACTGCATACCACGACCCCCCACTCAGCCACCACCTGCATCATCTTGTCCCAGCAGCCCTAGCAATCTGCAAGCCTAGAACAGTAAAGTCTCATCAATAATTCCATACAGGCCGCAGAGGCTGCTGCTGCAGCCAGTACACAGGCAAGCACACACGCCAAAGAAACCAAAGCGAAGAAAGCAGCAGCAGGCAGCAAGACTCCAGGGAGCAGCGAGCTGTAGCTCATCATGGGTATCGAGAGCATGAGCCCCACGGCGGCGGCGGCGGCGGCGGCGGAGGACTCCTCCTCGCGCTTCTCCGCCGCGTCCACGGCCACCACTGAGTCCGGCGCCGCGCAGCCGCCGCCGGCTGCTTCTGCAGCACCGGTCGGCGGCGCGGTCGTCGGCCGAGACGACGACGCCTCGCCGGCGGACGAGCAGGCCGTCACGTCGCAGCCGTCGGCGGCGGCCGCCGTGGCGCAGGGCTCTTCGCGGTTCAAGGGCGTCGTGCCGCAGCCCAACGGGCGGTGGGGCGCGCAGATCTACGAGCGCCACGCCCGGGTGTGGCTCGGCACGTTCGCCGACGAGGAGGCCGCGGCGCGCGCCTACGACGTGGCCGCGCTCCGCTACCGCGGCCGCGAGGCGGCGACCAACTTCCCAGGCGCCGGGGCGTCGGCGCCCGAGCTCGCCTTCCTGGCGGCCCACTCCAAGGCGGAGATCGTCGACATGCTGCGGAAGCACACCTACGCGGACGAGCTGCGCCAGGGCCTGCGGCGCGGCCGCGGCATGGGCGCCCGCGCGCAGCCCACGCCGGCCTGGGCGCGCTCGCTGCTGTTCGAGAAGGCCGTGACGCCCAGCGACGTCGGCAAGCTCAACCGCCTCGTGGTCCCCAAGCAGCACGCCGAGAAGCACTTCCCGCTGAAGCGCGCGCCGGACGCGGCGGCGGCGGCCACCGGCAAGGGCGTGCTCCTCAACTTCGAGGACGGCGAGGGCAAGGTGTGGCGGTTCCGGTACTCGTACTGGAACAGCAGCCAGAGCTACGTGCTCACCAAGGGCTGGAGCCGCTTCGTCAGGGAGAAGGGCCTCCGAGCCGGGGACACCATCGTCTTCTCCCACTCCACGTACAGCTCGGAGAAGCAGCTCTTCATCGACTGCAAGAAGACCAAGACGACGACGGCCGCCACCACCGACGGGGCGCCGGTGCCGGTGCTGGCACCAGCGGAGAAGAAACCAAGTACTGAAGCCCGTGTAGTGAGGCTGTTCGGCGTCGACATCGCCGGAGACGGGTGCCAGAAGCGCGCACGGCCGGTGGAGATTGCGTTCGATCATGGGCCGCAGGAGTTGTTGATGAAGAAGCAATGCATCGCTCATCACCGCTCGCCTGCCCTAGGTGCCTTCTTGTTATAGCAGCGATCGTATTATACACATAGTAGTATTCTAGTCCTCCTCTCCCTTTTTGTTCTTCTTGTCGCCTGCTTCATCTTGAATTCAATTACCACTAGCTAGTGTTTGTTCTTCGTATTTGCAAAGAACTTGTTTAAGTCAGACTGCAAAACGAGTTGTATGTATGTATGTACACCATTAGGAAGTCTTCAGATGCTAGTAGAAGTAGCAGTCCTGAAGATCATGCAAGTCTGTGCCATCATCGAGTGCAGCAATAAGTTGATTCGATCTGCAAGATAATTAAACATGTGTGTTTGCTTCTTGTTCTGTTGTTGTTGGATTCATCACTCTTGGCAACTCAGTCTAGCTTTTGTTAGCTTTTCTGTAGCAGTTCGGCATGCATGATAATAGGTTGTGTGTTATCTATCATCATCAATCAAAACACAATCGAAGTTTTTCTAGATGATGAAAGCAAGCAAAGTTAAAGATGCAAACAAAAAAAAAAGATTGAGGATTCAGAGTTTCTACATAGCAACTTTTGAATCTCGTGATGATGGTTTCGACGGTTCTTCTTACTATTGTGATATAGATTGATTTTCTTAATTCACTCACAGTGACTATTCATAGATCTCCGCAGTTTCGTTTATTCAAAAGGACGACGAGTCCTATTAGTATTGATTTCTGTTCGCTTCTTTTATCATCTGTCTTTTTCTGTTTTTTCAGTCGGATATTTTTTTCTCAAAACAGCGTATGTCTTGTTCGATGTAAAAGCTAGACCAGAGCTGGGTAAGATCGTACACCCCTTTCCTAAAAAAAAAGATCTTACACACCCCACAAGTGTATTGTATACATCAGCTATTCCTATTTCCTACAAAAGTGTACGTAAGTCCTTAACTCAAATGCTGTTTCTTTTCTTTCTTCGTATATAACTTTCTTGCTTTTCTTGTATCGTATGTCGGCTATATCCTTTCGTTTCCATTGGTTTTAGATCTTTCAACCGATTTTTGTGAGCGAAAACATGTACTTTTCGATCATATAGCATTTGTAGACACCCATAAAACCAAAGCTACAGTAAGGTTTACTCCATTTGTCTATTTCTTATTAATTTCTTCGTCTCGAAATAAGAGCACATCTCACACTGAGACAACCAATCTCAAGTTCAAGTAGATTTATATAAAATATTATTAACATTTGTCTCTAAATAGATTTACTACGAAAATATATAACGTGATTATTAATCTAATAATGTCTACATTTGGTACCATAAATATTAGTATCATGAGATGTACACTTATTTTAGGACAGAGTACACAGTACCCCTTTTAGTGGTCAATTTGAGTTAGATCGGATATATAATGTGTGATCACGATATCTCTTTTTTGGCTTCCAAATATTTGTAAAGAAGGATATCTCTGTACAGGAACTTCTGGGGCCACGGTGAAATGCTTATATTGGGTATAAAAGGGGGAAATCAGTGAGGGTGAACTGTATAGATTTACATCATGGATGAGATACATATATATAGAGATAGACCTATTTCTCTCTAAAAGTTATACATGAAAGAACGAGATGTTCTCCCTCTTCCTTTTATTTCTAAATATTGAGCATGTTCGTTGGTCGGTTTCTGGGCTGATAAACTCGGCTGGTGTTGATTTGTTGTGAGAGGAAAATACTGTTGGCTAGTTGATAAGCCCTGGCTGAAACCAACAAGCGAACAGGCTGATTAAGGAGAAGTCTTTGGCCTGTGCAAAAGATGTAGGAGTAGAGATGACTTAATTAGCTTGGCAGCATTATAGACTTCTTGGCATCATACTGAAGACAAACTATTTGAAGCCGCGCCTGCTTATATCTCGATCTAAATAAAGTGACCAGTAACCGTCTACATGTTCCCCAATCCTGGTTAAGTGCACTCTTAGCTTTCTACTATATACTATTTACTTTAGAAGTTATTAAATGCTCTCCCAGCAGTTAATTTCACAACACACGGCGAGAACAGTAATCCGCGCGTTCACTTTTACGAGATGTATATTCGAATTTAAGAGCACATCCGAATGGTTATGATTTTGTAATTGATGATAGAATAATAATGAAAGAATATATGATCAAAATTTATATTACTAGAGTTAATTTGCAGATGTTTTTATTAGATTGAACAGTGTAGTAGATTTTGGATTAGCTGCAGGAGATTGATATGTGTCCTATTAATTAATGCCTAACTTATCAGCTCAACGTCCAGGTGTGTCCTAAATTTAAGCAGACAAATGAGTTGAAATCAGGGCAAAACGACAAGAACCAATGACATCTAAAAATGGACATCTCATTGGCCCTATTCGCTTATCTTATAGTCCGTACTTTTCAGCTTGTTTTTTTCAGACGGAACAGTGTTTTTCTCTCACAACAAATCAGCTGGAACAATGTTTCGGCTTGTTTTTTCAGCGAAGCGAACGGGGTAGCAGAGGTGTGCTTGATGCATTATTTATGTAGGAGAGTGTTGGGGACCTAATACCAGGGTACCCTAGAAGGTAGAACCACTGACCATCGAACGTTAAAAACTTCTGGACGGACAAGGGTGCCACTGCGTTCCTTGCCCGAATGACGAAAGTTAGGTTCCGTCTCGCCCGACGCCTTTGGACCAACCCCGCCTCACCCGAGGGCAAAGGGCCCCGAGGGCAAAGGGCTGGCCTCCGTCTCACCCGACGCCTTTGGGCTAGCCCCGCCTCGCCCGAGGGCTGAGGGCTAGTCTCCGCCTCGCCCGACCCCCGAGGGGTGGGTTCGGTCACGCCCAAGGGATAAGGACTGGGCTCCGCCTCGCCCGACGACCGAGGGCGAACCTCGCCCCGTTCGATGTCCAAAGGCTGGTTTTATCTTAGCTGATAACTTTTCTCCCGTTCCCTCATGATGATGGGTACAGTGCAAGACAAGACGTTCGGGTCAACCACGGCTTCAAGGACCATACCCTGCGCCCCGGTAGGAAAGGTACTGCCAGGGAACGACTGGACGGGTGCTTTAGACCCTCTCGGGTGCCGCAGAGCCCAAAAGGTATTGCAGGCGCGTACTCGTCGCCCTGTAGAGTTGTAGGCGCCGCCTTCAGCTCTGGGACACATGACCCGATGAAGATACACGACAACCACTACACTCCAGAAAAGGATTTGTAATCTCCACAAATGACGGACATGCCGTCACCATATTATGGACCCAAGGGAGCGGCGCCCGCTTCCCGACCCCTCGGGTCCACCAAAACGCAGGACCTTTCCCACAGCGCTACTCCGGACCTCGACTCCGCGTCCCTCCGACAGAGACTCATAGAGCCAGAAGGCGTGCAGAGCAAGGCTGGGCGAGGTTCATAAGTCAAAACCACTGTACTCGAGCCCATACCCTGCGCAGGGCACTATTCTGTAACCATCCTGACATTCTACAGAAGCATCGACAGTATTATAGGCGTTTATCTTCCTTTCTCACCCATCAGAATGAGTAAGGAGGCAAGGTAGAGCACGGATTCTAAGCCCTAGCCCTTGTAAAGCCATCCCCTTCATCTATAAAAGGGGATGCGCTTCCTCCAGCGAAGGGGACGGGAAAAACAAGGCAACAGACACGCCTAGATAAGCTGCCACCGAGCTCTTGGCTTCCTTTCGACCCTCCCATCAGAGACTTGGCACCTGTCCCTCTCTCGATCGTTTGTATCCCCCACTACGAACCATTCACGGTGCTAATAACACGAGCAGCAACAAACTGGACATAGGGATATTCAGCCTGAACCAGTATAAATCTTGTGTCCTTTAGCGCACCATCCGAGCCTAACGCGCATTACTATAAATTTACTTGCCGGTGCTTGTACGAAACACCGACAGTTAGCGCGCCAGGTAGGGGGCTTGCGCATTCCAAACCAGGCCTCGGATGGCCACCCACGCAATCAGCTAGGCCCCGGGTGCATATGTCCGCTTCGGCGACCTAGATTTCATCGTCACACTAGGAGGAGAACTGATGCTGACCCACACGGCCGCACAGCCTCTCCCTTCCATCAACCCCAGCCATCTGAGGCTTGAGGGCCTGCGGGGCGACTCCCTTAGACCCCAGTTATCTAGGGAGCCCCCGCGCAGCATCATCCTATTTCCGAAAGGCCCCGTACAAAGCGCCCCGACAGCGCTTCCATTCGGTCTCCGCAACGCCGCGGTGACCGCCGGCCACCTTCTGTCACTATGCATGGTTTAGCCGCCTACCGACAGCGAGTTCATGGGGGTAGTCGAACACGATCCAGAGACACTCTACGGGCTCCTCACGGAGGAACCAGAATCGTCATCCAGCTCTGACTCCAGCAAGGGGAGCCATCACCCTTCCCGAGAATGCTTCATGACGCAAACCCCCGAGGGACACGTCCAAAGCGTCTCCGGAGAAGAAACAACCCCAACAGGCAACCCCGACGCCAGGATCAAGGCGGAGATGGTGGCTCCATCTCACGTAAGAATGGAGCAGCTAAGAGCACGAAAGCTGGAGATCGATGACGCCGGGCAACAGCTTGTCCGGGAATAACGAAACATCGAGGAGGAGATCAAGCGTCGCGGAGACGGTGGGCACGCACGCACCTCGGCCCGTGATGTGCATCAGAGGATCCTCACCGATGATGGGACTCTCCCTCATTTCGCTCGAGCAAGCCAGAACATCACCGCAGCAATGGCCTTGCTACACGGCCTTCCGGAGGCCACGACGTCTGAGGATCGCCGCGCCCGTCGAGAAATTCGCACGTTGCTCGAACATGCGGCGGCGCAGCAGGCGGAAAGCTCGTTGTCTCGACGACGTGAGCCCGACACCAGCCAGCGCACGCCCTCGGTATGTCCCACCAAGGACGCGTCCGTTCACCAGACGCCGCCGGGCAACAGGCAGCGCTCCACTATCCCGGTACATCAATGTCTTGGCAACAGCCGTGACATGTGCAGCACCATCGACGCCCGCAGGCACACCCACGGCGATGAAAGAGAAGAAGCCCATTGCGGCTATCATCCACGACGCGGCGGACGCTACGACAGCGG